TCTTTCTCTTTTTCGTTTAAACCTTTTGTGTTTTTACCTATCTTGAACCACGAAGATATTTTCTGTTTTTTTTTTCCTCTAAGTTTTATTGTTTTCTTTTATATTTTTATACCTGTAATTTACCTGAAATTGGTAGATTTCTTTTCTGTCTGTTGTGGGGTATGGTAAAGATTATGTGTTTTTTTTTTTATATGGATACCTAGTTGATCCAGCACAATCTGTGGAAAAGGCCATCACTTCCCCAGTGCACTGCAGTGTTACTTGTGTCATAAATCAAATGATGGTGTATGTATAGGTGTGTTTCCTGATTATCCTGTTCCACTCTTTGTTTTTTTCACTTGTACTGATATCACACCATTTAGTCTAATTAAATTTATGGTAAGTCTTAGTCCACTTCCATAAAAGAATCCTGTGAATATATTGATTAGAAATGCACTGATTCTATAGATCACTCTGGGTAAAACTGGTATCTTTACGATACTGAGCCTTCTAATTCCTGAATATAGTATATCCCACCATTTATTTAAATCTTGTGTCATTAATATTCTATAGTTTTCTGTGTGGTGTTGAGTGGTCTTGTATACTTTTCACTTTCTTACTAGGAATATGATGATTTCTGATGCAACTGTCAATGATACTACTTTCAAAATTCATAATTTGTTGTGTCTAAAATTCAGAAATGCAACTGACCTTATATCCAGCAACTTTGCTAAGTTTACTCATATTAATTTTAATAATTGGCTAGAGATTCTTTTGGATTTCCTATGCTCATAATCATGTGATCTGTGAATGACAGTTTAAATTCCTTTCATTTCTTTTTTTTGCCTTATTGTACTGCCTAGGACTTCCCATATAATGTTAAACAGAGGGGATAATAGAGATAACTCAAAGGGAAAGCTTTCAATAATTTACCAACAAACAAAATATTTGCTTTAGGTGTGTTTTTAAAAAATAGATAGACCTTACCAAATTAAGGAATTTCCCTGCTGTTCCTAGTATGTTAAGAATTTTTGAAGAATCAGGAATGAAGATTGACTTTTATTATAAAGTATGATGCATTTTTTGACAAACTAAATATAAAGGCAAAGTATCTCAACATAATAAAGAATACACACACACACAGCACACATACACAGATAGATAGGTGGTAAGCCCACAAGCTAATTTCATCTCTTCTTCAACAATGAGAAACTTAAAGTTTCTCCTCTAAGATCGTTCTTTCCTCTAAGATCAGGAACAAGACAAAGATGCCAGTACCTCACCACTTTTATCAACTTGGCATTAGAAGTCCTAGCCAGGGGGCACCTGGGTGGCACAATTAAGCTTCCAAATCTAGGTTTCGGCTCAGGTCACGATCTCAGGGTCACGGATGGAGCCCCATGTCGGGGTCCATGCTCAGTGCGGAGTATGCTTGAGGATTCTCTCCCTTCCTCTCCCTCTGCCCCTCCTGCTCATGCTCTCTCTCTCTCGCTCTCTAAAATAAATAAATAAAACTTAAAAAAAAAAGAAAAAGAAGTCCTAACCAGGGCAATGAAACAAGGAAAAAAAGCATAAAAACTGGGAAGGAAGAATTTGAACTGTCTCTATTTGCAGATAACATGATAATATGTATAGAAAACCCCAAAGACTCCACCAAACAACTCTTTGAACTAATAAATTCAATAAAGCTGAAAGATATAAAATCAATATATAAAAATCTGTTGTGTTTCTATACACCAATAATGAATTATCAAAAGAGAGATTAAGAAAATAATCCCACTTACAGCTGCATCAAAAGGAATAGAATACCTAGAAATAAATTTAACTAAGTAGGTAAAAGATATGTATACTGTAAACTATCAGATATTGATGAAAGAAACCGAAGACACAAATAAATGAAAGGATATTCCATGCTCACGGATTGCAAGTGTTAACACTGTTAAAATGTCCATACTACCGAAAGCAACCTGCAGATTCAGTGTAAGTGCTGTCAAAATTCCAATGGCATGTTTACAGAAACAGAAAAAAAAAAATCTTAAAATTTGTATGGAACACCAATCCCAAATAGCTAAAGCAATCTTGAGAAAGAAGAAAAAAGCTACAGGTATCATACCTCTTGATTTCAAACTATTTTACAAAATTATAGTAATCAAAACAATATGGTATTGGAATAAAAACAAACATACTGATCAACAGAACAGGATAGAGAGCCCAGAAATAAACTCATGCATATATGGTCAATTAGAGGAGGAGCCAAGAGTGTAAATGGGGAAAGTATGATAGTCTCTTCATGAAATAGTATTAGGAAAATCAGACAGCAATAGGCAAAAGAATGAAACTGGATCACTTTCTTACACCACATACAAAAATAAATTACAAAATAGGTTAAAGACTTGAGGAGTGCCTGGGTGGCTAAGTTGGTTAAGTGTCCAACTCTTTCTTAAAGATTTATTTATTTATTGATCTGAGAGAGAGAGAGAGAGCATGAACAGTGGGGAGAGGCAGAGGGAGAAGTAGGCCCCCCACTAAGCAGGGAGCCCGATGCAGGGCTTGATCCCAGGACCCCGAGATCATGACCTGAGCCAAAGGCAGATGCCCAACTGACTGAGCCACCCAGGCACCCCAAGTGTCCAACTCTTGATTTCAGGGTCGTGAGTTGGGCTCCAAATAAGTCCTTAAAAACTATTAAAGACTTGAATGTAAGACCTGAAACCATAAAACTCCTAGAAGAAAACAAAAGCAGTAAGCTCCCTTTACCAGTATCTGAGTGATGATTTTTTGGATTTGACACCTAAAACAAAGGCAACAAAGGGAAAATAAACAAGTGGAACTATACATCAAACTAAAAACTTCTGCACAGCAAAGGAAACCATCAACAAGATAAAAAGACAACGTGCTGAATGGGAGAAAAAATTTGCAAATCATGTGTCTGATATGGGGTTAATATCCAAAATATATAAAGAACTCATACAATTCAATAGCCAAAAAACCATTAACTCTCCAATTTAAAAATGGGCAGAGGAAGTGAATAGGCATTTTTCCAAAGATGACACACAAATGGCCAACAGGTACATGAAAAAGTACTCAACATCACTAATCATCAGGGAAATGCAAATCAGAACCACAGTGAGCTGTCACCTCTCACTTGTTAGAATGGCGATTATCAAAAAGACAAGAGATAACAAGTGTTGGTGAGGGTTTGGAGAAAAGAGAACCCTTGTGCACTGTTGGTGGAAATGTGAATTGGTACAGCCACTGTGGAAACCAGTATGGAGGTTTCTCAAAAAATTAAAAACAGAACTACCTTATGATCCAGCAACTCCACCTCTGGATATATATCCAAGGGAAACAGTCACTATCTTGAAGAGATATCTTCACCTCCATAGTCACTGCATCATTATTTATTATATTTATTTTATATTTATTATAGCCAAGTCATGGAAACAACCTAAGTGTCCATGAGTGTATGAAGAGACAAAGAAGATATGGTATTTTTGTACTATGGAATATTATTCAGCCACAAGAAAGAAGGGTATCTTGCCATTTACGACAACATAGATAGACCTTAAGGGCATTATGCTAAGTGAAGTAAGTCAGAGAATGATAACTATTGTATATCACTTATATGTGAAATCTACAAAAGTCAAACTCATAGAAACAGAATAAAGTGGTGGTTATGAGGGATTGGTGGGGGAGAGGGGAAACACAAAATGTGGAGATGTTGGTTAAAGGGTATAAAATTTGGACAATTAAGGGACGAAAAAAGTTGCATAGGGAAAGGAACTGGAGGAAGGGACTATAATACAATCAAGATGTGATCAGAAGAGAAAAGGAGATCAATTTAGAGACAGCAAATAATTTAGGTGGAAAAGAGGTAGAAGCTAAGGTTGAGGGAGTAGGGGTCGGGGTTGGGGGAACTTAGAACACCAGGATGAATTTAGACAATGGAAGTCCCTAGAGGTTTTGGGTAGAGACACAATGAAACCACTTTATTATATGGTTAATTCTGGGGTAGAACTTACCATGGAAAATATGGGAACAAAGTACTGCAGGAATACCACTTACGAGTTTTTAGGAGTAGTCTAGATGTATAGTGTTGGTGAGAGAAAGAGAAGAAAATATGGGAGAGTTTAAAGAAAGAATTGCTAAGATTTGAGGACTAAGTGATGTGAGGACTGATCATGTTCAATTCGGAACATATTATATTTGAGGAGATTATCCTATATTCAAATAAGAGAGGTTCAGTAGACAGGTAGAGACATATGGGACTAGAGCTCAGGGAAAGGATTAGCACTAGAAGTATAAATTTTAACCAAATATCATAAAAATTATTTTTTATTATCTATCTTTTTTCTAAAGATTTTATTTATCTATTTGACAGAGAGAGAGAGAGCACAAGCAGGCGGAGCAGCAGGCAGAGGGAGAGGGAGAAGCAGGCTTCCCGCTAAGCAGGGAGCCCAATGTGGGGCTCAATCCCAGGACCCTGGGATCATGACCTGAGCCGAAGGCAGACGCTTAACCGACTGAGCCACCCAGGCGCCACTTTTATTATCTACCTTTATTATTTAGTGTCTACCTTTACTAAGCAATAATATTAGTAACTTTCTTTTCCTTTAAGGTTTTAGGTCAATAGAAGATAAATCCAATTTTCTTCCTTAGATCACTAGACAATAATTTTCAAATAATTAAGATGATAATAATAACTAATATTTTTTGAGCACTTACTATACGCTAACCACTGTTCTAGGTACTTTACATATGTCAACATATTTACAACCATTCTATAAGATACAGTCACTATCCCCATTCACAGGTGAGGAAATTGAAACACACAGAGGTGTAGTCACTTGCCTAATGTCAGAGAGCTAGTCAGCAGCAGAGCCAAGATGTGGACTCAAGCAGTCTAGCTCTCCTCAACCAACACATACATAACATCTTAGCAAATAATCACGCTAAAATGGTTTAGGGTTCAATTCTCCTTCATCTTCTAGAGCTATTTGGAAAGGTTTTAATATACTTACTTGTAATGTATTTGTATCCCACACTTTCAGAGTTTTATCAAATGAGCTTGATGTGAACATGCCGGTGTCATGAGGATACCACTGTACAGTCTCGACACTGTATTTGTGAACATCAGGATGGTTTCTACAAAACAGCGATCAAAATTTAGAAATAACTTGATTTACGTGAGTTTCAATACTGATACTGTATTAACAAGTAGCAGTCTCAAGTAGGACAATATGAATGGCCAAACCTAGATCACAGGCCTGCATCCCAGCTCTCCAGAGGACAATGTCCAGGCACCTCTAGTTTCAGGCTTCTGTAGTGTAATGTGGAGGCCCGCTTCCTACTAAGGCTTATTAAATGGGAGACTTCCTATTTCTGTATTTGAGCCTGGAGAAAGTAGCCAGCTACACTGAACCTCTTCATGGAGGGGGGCAGTGATTTTTCCATACTGGAAGAGATACCCATTCTGGTTTCAGATATGCTTTTCCCAAGTACCATTTATCAGTATTATCATTCTTAGAATTGTTGAATGCCTCACATAGTTCCATGGTATCCCACGCAATATTGCTTCTGATCAAGGAACTTACTCAATGACAAAAGAATGCAATTAATTGGTAGATGTTCAAGGCACCACTCTTATGTAACCCATTACCTGTAGAAGCATGATCTGTTGAAGACTCAAGTTATGATATCAGCTATAATACACTACCTTGTAAGGGTGACATGCTGTCCTAAAGGAAGCAGTATATGCTCTGAACTGGTGATAAATACAGTATATGTGTCACTTTACTAAATTTTAATTCACAAAAACTGGCTGTTAACTAACCCTTATAAGACAATGATGGAAATTTGAACACCAAGTGGATATTTAATATGAGGAATTATTGTGTGAGATAACAAAGTCTCTATTTTTAGAGATATAAACAATAATGAATGAAATAAAATGCTTCTGGGATAATCCTCAGTGGGTGGGTGGGGTTAGAGATGAAACAAGATTGGTTATGACTGATAGTTGTTGAAGCTGTGTGATGGGTACATAATTCACTATACTACTCTCTTCTTTTGTATATGCTGGAAATTTTCCAAAACAAAATAAACAAACAAAAGTTAACAGAAGACTATTGCAATCCTACACAGATAGGACCATCATGAGTTCTGATTCCTTAAGGTGGTTTGGATCAATACAGGATGAAGTACCTTAAGCACTTGGATGAATGAGAACATGAAGTAAAGCCTTAAAGTGTTAGTCTGGCATTGACAGAGCTGCAAAAAAGAAGGACTATAGTGTCTACCCATTATTCCTTTCTATGTCATGTATAATTTATATATTTTAACTGATTTCCCTTTTCTTTCTCTCTCTTGCCTCCATTATTTTATATAGGTTAACAACAAACTGAGTCCACGGGTTGCATAATTTGATAAAAGATCATGTAAAACTAGTGAAAAAATGGACATTATCTTGAACTGGAGCTGGATATGGTAATTAAGTAGACTGAGGATCTATCACCTTTGGGGAAAGGGATGATTACATTTTGGTTGTGTAGTGGATACTTGCCTTTTTGGTTGTGGAGTAGATACTTGGAACTTTTTTTTTTTAAGTTGGATCCAAACTCCTCCTATCTGGGGGACATCTCCCTTATTTTATTGCTTCTTGTTACAGAAAGCTAGGGACTCCAGACATTCTCTTTCCCTCTCCCTTGGCAGTAAGGGCATGGACGTATGGTTTAAGCTTCCCAAACCTGCCTGGGACTCTAAAACTCCAGCTAGTAATGCAAAACTCAGGGATATTTAACAATTATTCATAGTCATGAAGTTGAGAGTCTGTGTTGGTGACATGTAGCAGAACCCAAACTAAATTGTTCCTGTGGTGGACTCCAACTGTTGTCTTTGCCTTAGTTTCTCTTACCTTCCGCTCCTTTCCACATTTTATTCCCCTACCTTCCCGCCAGTTATATGAGATACTAAATATCTTTCCAATAAATTTCTGCTTAAAATAAGGAGAACTGGTTTCTATTTGCTCCTAAGAACCTTCATATATACCAAGATTTTCCAGTTATAGTAAAACAAATCTTTAATGTAGTGATTAAAAATAAAAGCTCATTTATATTTTAAATGTAAATTTAAGAATAGGACAAAATATTATATTATTATCTTACCAGGTATGACCTGTTATTCTCATTCACATTTAATGAGGATTTTGGTACAGAAAGGGAATCTTTTTGGTGCCTAAGAACATATGCATTAAGTAAAGCAAAAATAAATATCAGCAAACACTCTAAGCCATATTAACTAAAAATTTTTAGTGAAATTATTTTGTAAAGTTAGATTATAAAGTCTTCAGATATAAAAAATGCTACTTTAACTCATTTTGCAAACATGCTCACTGTATGCCCATTTACATTCAAAGTTATGCTTTTAAAGACAGAGTGAATCCAAGAAGAATGTCATGGTAAAGCAAAAGATTGATACACTAAGCATTTACTTGACTTTAACTACCAGAAAAGTAAATCACAGTTCCTCAGGAATAACATTAGATAGCATGTGGTATATATGAAAATACTATTTTGATATGTAACAAATTAAACAATGTTAAAATGTTAGCTAAGATAAAAGAAGAAAATGAACTAAATGAATTAATTAATATGACTATCTTACACTTTAGAATTTAGGGGGTTTTTTTTGGTACAAGTGGAGTGAGAGTATAAAATGGTGTAAGCCTCGTAGAAACCAAGTTTCAGACTATTTGAGGTGTTATCTTTGTGTACCAAGTATCCCTATAATTATATTGCTTTACAGAGTGGCCTTACGGTTTTTAACATGCTTTTTAAAAGACAGTATTTCATTTAAGACTCATAAAAACCTTACAAGAAAGACAGGACAGGTATAATTATCTCTGAAACAAAATAATCTGAGGTTCAGAGAAAGAGTGTCCCAAATCTTTATTTCCAAAGTGAAGCACCAGAACCAAGAAACAATCACAAATCTCCTCCCAAATACTCCATGGACTTATGTACCTATTCTAGTGCTTTGGGAACAGCTTTAATACACAGTGATTGTTGACATTAAATGTTCATGAAATTTTTCCTCTTGAAAGATTTTCCTAACACCCTTTCTTCCTGTTAACTCAAAGCTGTGCTCAATATTGGATCAGATACAGGCGACAAGGAAGAATTAAGTAGCCATTATGAACAAATTACAACAGTCACAAAACATCTTTCTAGACGCTTAAAAATAATTCTCACAAGACTGGAAAGGCAGTAAAGAATAGTCAGGAGACTTAAGACAAAGAGAGGTATGTTAAGTTAGACAGCTTTGAGTAAGTAGAGAGATAAGATGGTTGTGTATAGGTGTGTTTTTGTGTGTGTATGGTGAAGGACTGCCAGTATATTTACTGCTTCTAGCCATTAATCTTTTTGTTCAATGAATATAATTTGAAAAATATAATTTTTGTTTATAATTAGCTGAAAGACATAAATAAATTTTATGCTAAGTGGTACTAAAAACTATGATTAGTTACTGCGGTGTGCTAAGTAGGTATACAACAAAAGGACATAATCAAAACTTTTTATTTTCAAGAAAATGTCAAAGGATATCCATGTGAAATGTGACATTTGAACAAGCTGTCTGAGACAATCATATGACTGCTATTTTCATGTTTTGCATTTGAAGCAAAAAGTATTAAAATGTTTATAAATTCATGAATTACATTTTTAATACACACCTGCCAACGGAACACACTGCTTTACATGTGTAATAAGGTTGTCTGCTGGAGTTCTCAAGATCATAAAGTACAATCACACCATCTGAACCACCTGATAACATGCTAATAATAAAAAAGTTCACATTAGTCATTTTATGTACTTCATTTATTATATACTGATCCACAAACACCCAAATGTATTATGCCCACAAATACAGAGTAAATCTTCGTTAATAAAGATTTTTAATAAAGTAAAATTCCTCAACCTAGTATTTGTAGAATATAGAAAGTTTCAATCTGTGACTATTTAAAGTTCACCTTTATAATTCCAAAAAGGACAGTAGAAACAAGATGGCAAAAGATCTATCTTAATTAAGAAAGTAAAATATTATGAAGTCATTCTTAATGTCCTAATTAAAATTGTAATAAATGAAAACGGAATCAGTGAGACCAGCTGTTACTGATGCTAGCTATCTGACTCTGGGCATGTTCCTTCACCTGTCTAAGCCTTCAAACATTTCTGAAAAAGGGTACATTTTCATCTAAGTCATAAAGATGACATAAAGATAAAAGTTATATGCAAGTGAGTTTTATACTGCCTCATAAAAAATAAATGATTAATAAATATTAGATTTAGTATTAAAAACACATATACTCACTTTATTCAACTTTGTGCACTTGAAATATGTTAGGCACTCTGCTAATATAACTGTCCACAAGACAGGCATACTTTCTGTCTTTCCAGAGTCTACAATCTAGCAGGAAAGACAGACAGATCTATGAATTTATATATCTAAATGAAGAATTGCTATTTGTTAATCTTATTGCTCATAATCAAACCTCATGTTGCTGTCGCTCTACTCATTCTGGTTCTCTGATTTTACTCTTTGGTAAATTCCTAAGAAAGGGCTAATGAGAGCAACAGGCCCTGAATTCTTGTATGTTATTGACAATTTGTCTGTTCTTTTGTACTTGAAAATCAGTCTGGCTGGATATATAACCCTTGAGTCACATTTTATTTCTCTGAACATCTGAGATAAGAAACTTCATTTCTTTGGGAATAAAGCCCCAAAGCAGTTTAGTTAAAACAGGATTTTCTTTCTCTTATATCTAGTTTTAGATCTTATTTATTTTAGGAAACTTTTCTTGGATTATACCTTTAATATTGACTCTGTTCTCTTCCTTTGGGTTTCTTCTCTGGGAATTCCTATTAAATGTATGCTGGATCTTCTCTATCTCCCACATACGTCCCCATCTCTTGAATTATCTTTTTCCATTTTCTTCTTGGTTTTTAAAAATATCCTCCTTCTACCTTCTTTTTCTAAGCTATTACCTCTTGTATTGATTTGCTTGTGTTCCTTATGCTTTAGTCTTCATTTCTGAAACATTTGCCTTTTATTTCTAATTTTTTCTTGAGTTTGTTCATCTCATTTCTGAGTTTTCTTAATTCCAACTTATGTTATTCTTTCAGATCTTGTATCTTTTTAAAATGACTTTTAGCTAGTTTTAAAATATTAGGTTAGAGTTCTCAACTATTTCACAGAAATATCTTTCTGGCACAGCTACACTCTCTAAAGGGGCATTACTTAGTCTCTTTGTTCTTATACTAATTTTGAATGGACTTTGATTTTAATCCTATTATTTTGCTCATATTTACATGAAATTAATTTTCTTAAACTTTTAGAAAGAAGTCTTGGTTTAGAATAATATTTAAATGTTGTATCTATAGAATATCTTCCTCTTCCTTTTTTATAAGATGTTCAATACATGGCAACTCACTTTTAGAGATTTCTTGGTTCTGTTCACCTCCTCAATTTTTATCTGGGCCGTCTTTTCCCTTTGTTTCTATTGTCCCTATACTGCTCAGTTTGGATTCTATTCCGAGCAGTTTCTCCTCACTATAGGGTTTTGCCCTTTAGGAGATCTTAAGTTGATAAGCTGGAGAGATCAGTGGGCCCAGACTGCTCCAGCCCCTTCCAGTCTTACTGTGAAGCCCTTAATCATTGGGAGGAGGTCATCCTCTCCCAGTGTCACCCCCTGTAGTCAAATTAGCTTGCTGAACTTCCAAGTAACGTTGGTTATCTTGGAGTTATCAGGTCTACTAGATGCTCCACTGGTTTTCACTGTCTCTTCTGATATAGATGCTGGTACCACACAGATCTTGTCAATATGGATGACTTGTTCCCACTCATCCATATTTTGTGGGTTGTGGGGATATTTGATCACTTATACTTGTTCTAAGTGTTATACGCTAATTTTTTTATATTTCCCTCTTTAGTTTCTTTGTTAAAGTGCAAGATGAGGAGCTTGTGCCACACATGAACACAATTCTGTCTTCACTAAGAAAGTCTTGTTATGAAAAATAAATTGTGTGCTTAGTGATGTACTAAACTTACATTCTGGTACAAGCTCCTTATCTTGTTAACCAGTTACAAAGGGTTCATGAGCCAGCGGCATGTCCAAGTAGCACTGATTTATAGACTTGTTTTAAGAAAAATTCAATGCCAATTTGTAGAACAATAAGGTTTATTTAAAAGTAATTCTTGGGCGCCTGGGTGGCTCAGTTGGTTAAGCGACTGCCTTTGGCTCAGGTCATGATCCTGGAGTCCCGGGATCGAGTCCCGCATCGGGCTCCCTGCACGGCGGGGAGTCTGCTTCTCCCTCTGCCCCTCCCCCCTCTCATGTACTCGCTCTCTCTCATTCTCTCTCTCTCAAATAAATAAATAAAAAATCTTTAAAAAAAAAAATAAAAAAATAAAAGTAATTCTTCAAAGTTCTTTGCTGAAACAGTTCTAAAAATCTGATTGGGGGTAGTAAAAAAAGACAGCAAGTAATGCCATGCTAAAGTGTTCACCACAAAACTTTTGTAGTTAACTAAGTATTCATACAGGAAAATATTTATAAATTTTAACAACTACAATTTTTATTTTCATTGATAGAATTTTGCAGCTTATTTGGACACAACTATGAGTTACATGTATACCAAAACCAGTTCTGAAAATATTTTTGCTTCCTATTTGAATTTTGTGAAATACTTTTTTTTTTTTTTACCATGGCACATATATTCTCAATGCAGAAACAAAAAATTATATTCACAGGTGAACATCTTAACTGAATTTAAATTGTATTTGTAGTAATGTCACATGCTTCATCTTTGCTAGAATGATTTCCAAAAGCTTTCCTTGGATTCTATTAATTGGTTGAAACAACTGAACCACTATTGGAATTAAATGATTCTGTATTTGAAGCATCTGTGGACAATGACATTATTTAACTGTGAGGTTATTATTCTGCTCATAGGGTAATTACAGTAAGAGATATAACGTCATGTTTTAATATGGACAAGAAAACCTGGTATTAAAGATGAACAACAATAATTTAGAAGAATTTAGAAGATATCAAAGAAAATTCAAGCTTCACAGAATGATATGCAAATGTACTTTATGCAATTGCACTTGTTAAAACATTATTTTCAGGGAGACTTCTTAAAATAACTCCCAACTTTGGAAATAAATGCTTCTTTACCAGATGTGTATATTCTGGTTTCTGGTTTTCAGTGATATCACTACAACTCTCATGGTGGTTGGTAAATATTAAAAAGTATTTTGAGCAAATTATATGTGCACTGACTTTCTTAGGAAAAACATGAAGATTTAATTTTCCATTAAACACATATTTTGCTTTTTATTACTCTCTTTGCTGCCTAAAGGATTTAATGCAAAATACAAGTCTTGACAAACAAATGAGATAGTTACAGACTTCACTACAGTGAAGTGTAGTGAGAATCTTGACTTTTCTCAATATGCTCTGCAAAAAGACTCCTCAGCCTGTATTTCTCACACATATTTTATGCACATATAATCTGAGAAATCAGATTTCTCATCTTTCTCATTGACTCTGACAACTGGTAACCTACTGGCTTCATGTACTTCACAAGTTAGACAAACGATCTCTATTCCAAATGGTTGGCTGGAGAAGCAGTACTGAATATCTTTTCCACCAGCACCCATGACCAAAAGAAATCAGTTATCCCTTTCTGTTTGTGCCATTGTTTTATAAGCAAATGGCCCTCAGCTGACCTTGAATGGGAGGTGTTATGTTGCGTCTGGAAAAGTTCAGAACGAAGAAAAGAATTATCGCTGATCATCTTTTAGATTTAACCATGTGCTAAAGTGAGAATGTGTTCACTGTACATGTTTCCCATATACTACTAGGTGGGACTATGACAGTGGCTGAAAATTAAAACCAGAATTCTTCAAACCTGTCTGGTTCATTTTAATGTAAATAATAATAACACTTCATTATAATATAAAAACTCTGGGGCAATGCTAAACACATGATACAACAAACTTCAGTTACTGTTATACTTGTTCTAATTACAGACCACATGAAGCTTTTTGAACTTTCTTGTAGGAGTAATAATGGGATCAAGATGTTTTAAGTGGGGGGATGGCATGTTCATAGTTGCATTTTTTTCTTTTTCTTTTTTTTAAAGATTTTATTTATTTGACAGAGAGAGACAAAGACAGAGAAGGAACACAAGCAGGGGGAGAGGGAGAGGGAGAAGCAGGCTTCCCGCTGAGCAGGGAGCCAGATGTGGGGCCCTGGGATCATGACCTAAGCTGAAGGCAGACGCTTAACGACTGAACCACCCAGTCGCCCCAATATTTGCATTTTTCAAAGCACTCCAGCTGTTGTATGGAAAAGGACTGAAAGGAGTAAAAGTATAGGTGATAATATTTTTGATTAAGAGGAGTAGAGGCAACCATTTACGATATGCCAGGTCCTGTGCTAATCATGTTACACATATAATCTTAATTAAGTTACAACAAACTTGTTAGGTAGCTGTTACTGTTAGCATTGTATAGCTAAGGCAACTGAGAATTAAAAAGGTTAGGTCAATTGCTCAAGGTCCCTTAGCTGCTAAGTGATAAAGCCCAGGAGGAGCTCAAATAAAGGTCTGGATTTCTTCAAGCTTAATCTTCCAACATATAGTTTCACTTTTTATATTCTATTTGTTTTCCCATTAGACTCCTTCAGAGTAGCAACTCTGTTTTAAAATGGTACCTAAAGCACACACCCCAGCACTTAAAAGCCCTTTGTATCCAAAGAAGTTCAATGTCTGTTACAATGAATATATTTATATAAAGTAGTTTGGAAATGTTTACCTGGAAACATTTTAAGGGTGTGATGTTTTGTATTTATTTAAATTATTAACATCAGACTTAAAATGCTACAATTTAGAAATTTTACTACTTTTTATGAAACTTTACATAAGTAACCTGAAAACAAGATTTTACTGCATCTCACTTTGAACAACAACAGAATGACTGTTTAAGTGTAATAAACTTACTATCTTGCTTCAATAGGTTCAATGTCAAGGGTGTTAACTCCACTGCCATGGATCCTTTCAACATCTCTGTCTTTGTTTAACTCCAGTCCCAAAACCCTTGAAAAAAATATAAAAATGGAAAGGAGGGAAAAGAAAGATAAAACTAAACAAAAATAAAGTAATTTAAGCATTAAAAACATCCTTATTTCACCAAAATTACATGTAGTACAAAAATTGCAAGTAATGCTTAAATCTTCTACTACACATTCAAAGGTATTTATAGATTTTTAAAGACCTTATACGAATTTTAAAAAATGCCAACAGTACTAACAATTATATATAAAGAATTTCTCCAAAGCATTATCTTAAACTTCATTTAAAGGGGTACTTCATTAATTTTTATTAAGGTATTTAGAGACTGAAATAAATTTTCATGAACAAAAAGTTAAATTCTGGTATCTTAAACTTAACTGAGGACACCTAGTGGACAAAAGCTTAAATTACAGTACTTAAAAAAAATTTCCTGAAGTGTTTCTTATGCTTTAGGTAGAAACAAAATGACTATGTTCAATTTAACAATTAAGCACACTTTTTAAAAGCCAATTAAATATCTATAAAAAGATGAATAACAAGTACTCTTACAAATTAAGATGAGTGAAATTTCTGATATTGCATAACTGTAAAACATCATTATGTAAAGTGCTCATTACAATGACTAGTAAGTGCCCAGTGAATGTTAACTATTAGAATTTGTCTTGGTCTGTTGGATGTTAAAGAACATTTACATTAATTTAACTAGAATGATTTCTAAATTCATTACTGACCAACATGATGCTATCTATATGAAAATTTTTAGCCTATTTGTCAGTTTTATTTTTTAAAAATAACAATGCACAGTGCTAGAAAAAATACAAACTGATACTTTTATGTCCTCACAGTAGCAGTATTAATAATTATAAACATTTTAGTAATCATTTTAGCATATCAAATGTTTGATTTAAAGATATACACAGGCCTTTGTCTTCTGGAACAGTTTAGCCTTAGGTTCAAATATCCAGTCTAACATTTACTACTTTTCTGACCTTGATCAATAACAGTAACAGCCAACATTAAGAGCCTACCATTTGCTGACACTGTGATTAGTGGTAATAAAAAGTGTAATAAGTGGTAATCTGAAGTGATGGATTTCCTAGGTGGTAGGTTATATTAGTAACTGCTCTTTCTGATTATAAAACTAAGACATAAGTAATTTGCCCAAGGTCATACATCTAATAATTGCTTGAACTTGGATCTGAACTCTTGACACTTTCTCTCCAGACCATTATGCTGTCTTCCATCTCTGAGCTCCAGTATTTCACCAGAAAACAATTTTTCACATTTTCTAGCGAATTCCCATTTCTTCTTAAAATATTTTTCTATTTTTCATTTTTATTTTATTTTACTTCATTTTTTTGAGAGACAGAGAGCATGCGTGGCGGGGGGGGGGGCAGGCAGAGGGAGAAGGAGAGAGAGAATCTTAAGCCCCAATGCAGGGCTGGATCTCACAACCCTGAGATCCTAACCTAAGCCAAAATCAAGAGTCAGACACTTAACTGACTGAGGCACCCAGGCGCCCCTATTTGATGATTTTTTAAATAATAACAGTAATCTGTGCTTCTTGTAACCAGTAAAATATCATACAAACATGGACAAAGGTAATCACCCCTTCCTTGAGTTCCTTTCTCTGAACAGTGAGAAATGTAGCTCCCACTATCATTAATATGTTTATTTATTTGATCAATGCCACTGAATGTAACCCATCTCCCATCACCAATACCATCTCCATCTCCAACAAGAAAATTGCTCACCAGGCTTGGGCTTTGATTTCTGCGTCCCCTAATACTCCTAATCACCTGGGCTTGTCAGTCCCCACAATCAGACTACCTCTTCAACCTGCTCAGGGTCTCCAATATCACTCTAAAACAATCTAATCCCAGCCTGTGTATGGAAGCCTACCTCTGCCCAACCTAAAGACTTTAGGACTGCATTTTTAGGGAACTAAAAGGTGTTAAATGAAGGAAAGTAAGAGGGTAATATGATAGGTAAACAAGGGGTCGGTGTGTGTGAAAGGAGGCAAGGTGTGCAAAAAAGAGTTAACACAGCATGCCAGAGACTGCTATCCTTTAGAAAGCCTACTTGCAAGATTGGCCTTTGTCTGCTTCTGTGATTGCAGATTCTAATCATTCCTGGATAAGAATGGTTCACTGGGCCTAAACTATGTGGAGCCAACAAGGTGCTTTGTGATGAATACCTGCTTTCCTTCTGGGAGTCTGGAATTTTGGTACATGTTAAGTACATAGAAATTTTGGTTCATGCTCTAAAAGAAGAGATAAAGTCCTTCAGACAGAAGGGAAATGATATAAGAAAACTTGGGATATCAGGATTGAGGAGAGAGCAAAAGAAATGATAAATACCTAGGCAAATATAATTGACAAAGTATGCTTGATAGCTGAAAACAAAATGTATTAACATTATCTGATGGGGTTTACAATGTATGTAAATGTAATATGTGAGGCAACATATATGGTGGAGGATAAAGAGTGATGAAGTTTCTATATGCCAAATGAGGCAGTAAAATATTGATTCTAAGAGGAGAATGAAAAGTGGGTATTTTATAATTCCTAGAGGAACCACCAAAAACAATCATATAACGAGATGTCACAAGAGATAAATTAAAATGGAATATTAAATAATGTTCAAATAACCCCCAAAAAAGCAGGAAAGGGGAAACAAAAATGTGGAGCAACCAGCACTCTCATCCACCACCGGTGGGAATGTTAAGCTTCTAGAAAACTACCAGTTTCTAAAAAGTGAAACACAGGCTCTAGTCATTCCACTGTTAGGCATGCAGCCAAGAGAAATAAAAGCATATATCCACACAAAGACTTGTACATGAACATTCACAGCAGCTTTATATGTAATTGCCCAAAACTGGAAACATTTAAATGTCCATCAACAAGTGAATGGATAAACTGTGATATATCCACAGAATAGAACATTCCTCAACAGTAAAAAAGAATCAAAAGGAGAAACTTCAAAATAAATTATGCTGAATGAAAAGAGCCAGATAAAGCATGATTTTATTTATATAAAATTCCGAATGTACAGTAATCTATGCTGACAGTAAGCAGTGGAGTGGTTTCCTGGAGTAAAACAGCATGAAGCAGGGAAAGAAAGAAAAGAAGCATTACAAAGAGGATGAAATTTTTGGCTTATGGATATTAGTTATTTTGATGGTGATAGTTTCAAAGCATATATGTATGTCAAAACCCATCCAGCTGTTTACTCTAATTTAATGTGCAGTTTATTGTATGTCAATTACACCTCAAGAAAGTTGTAAAAAAAAGTGGGGTAAGAATTGTAAACTTTGCATATCCGTGTTCATGCTTTTGCCCTTAATCATTGACAAAGAAGAACTTGGGGTAAATTAGAGTAGACATCTTCTTTAAATAAAATAGGACTGTGTAGTTGTTTAGTTAAACAAACACATCACTTAACGAGGGGAATCTTTAAGAAGAAACACTACCTTAAACACTTTATTTCAACTTAAATATATAAGCAATCCTCACTTTGCACAGTTTGCAAACTAAGCACAGAATGCAAGTTACCATGATTTAAATACCAGACCCCCCAACAATATGGTTCAAAATTCAGTTACCATGGTATATTAATTGTGACTAATAGCACAAAGCACAAAGTTGGCTACTAGCTTTTCAGTGCACAAATCACTACAAAAATAACATGCACATCATAATTCATGACCAATTTACATGACTTCTTTCAAAGTCTGCAGGTGATTGGTTACTGTACATTTGTCATTCAATTCACACAGAGCCTGCAAAGTTCTGTACTTCTGAGATAAACCCATACGAAATTTTAGAAAAATGGAGAATTAAAAGAGGGAATTGACATGGAGGTGCACCAAAAATATGCTAAGTGATAATGCTGGAAATAAAACTCCAATGGAATGTAAATGGAGTTACAGAAGAAATAGATGATTGTGGAAATGTTGACACTTGTGGCCATTTGAGAATCTCTAGAGAAAGACTGAGGAAATCAATGCAGGTGAGTGAACTTATCCCAATAAATGAGGAAAAGTGGTCATGATGAGAAGGCTGAAGATGTCTGGGAGGAAATGACACTGGCAAAAACGTTCACATAAAAAAACTCTCAGAGACATATTTCACGACATTGAAATGCAAAGGACAAAATGTTGGAATCTGATTCGGACTTAGAAAGAATGATAATTAGCCAAGATATAGAACAGATACTCAACTTGCATTAGAAGCTATACAATGAGAAGACCAGTGCCACTCAAACTACTCTTGATTTCAGTTGGGGTTTTTTTTTATTTTTTTTTAAAGATTTTATTTATTTATTTGACAGAGAGAGACACAGCGAGAGAAGGAACACAAGCAGGGGGAGTGGGAGAGGGAGAAGCAGGCTT